TTTGTGGACCTCTGAGAGGTTTCAGGAAAAACCACAGTGCAAGCAAGATCTGCAGCTTATGTGGAACAGCTGCTGAAAGATGTCTGGACCAGGTAGGTGAATTGGGTGGGGCCAGATTTCAGGGAATCAGCAGGGTGGGGTGAGTGGTTTTAACCAGGTTAATGGAGACTCAGATTTGGTACCTGCCTGAACCTGCTTGCTGTGTCAGGGGAGGACTCAGTAAAGGAACAATGATGCCAGCCAGCACTTCAGTCCTGCTCCTCCAGCCCTTGCCCTGAAGCCAGATGATTTAGTTCTTCCCCATATGTCCTTGGCACTTTTTGAACTGCTGTCCCTTCACTGGAGTGAATGTTGAGTGTTTGTGAGCAAGTCCATGGTTAGACCCTTTAAGAGAAGGCCTGGGTCTGCTGCAGCCCTCCATCTCACTTTGGAGAAGTCTCTGCTGATTTTCACAGCCAGATGATGAGCGACTTCTCTTCCTGGCTCTGGTACTCCAAGCTGGGGAACCTGGTGTGCTGCTGGGACCTTTTGTTCTTCAGAGGGGACCTCTGCAGCTGAGATAGCCCTCCTGATTCATAACTGCCACATGTCAGTGTGATAGTTTGAATCTCCACCCCTTATGCTAGTCTCAATATAGCTGCTTCTTTATATTCCTAGTTATAGAACTCCTGTTCAGCTAGTGTTTGGATGGTACTGAATGATCATTTTTCTATTATTTAGTTGTAATTTTGATGTGGGTATGGGAGGAGGCAAGCACAGAGTTTACCTACGGTGTCTACCTGCTCTGCTACCTTCACCCCAAGTATAACTTCCTTGCAAGTCTTTTTGTTTCTAAATGGAGCCTGCTCAGAGGCATGAGATGGCCCAGCTGGCTGCTCCCTCTCAACCCTGCATTTCAAGGAAATTAAGGAGCTTTCTCTTTTCAAGGGGTTTCCTCTTTCATCTTAAAGTGATTGCTGAGGGAATCACTGGGTGTGGTTTGGTGAGGCTATTGCACCTGTTCAATCAGGAGAATCTTCCAGGAGGGAAAAGCTTTTAGATGCTTCATGGAGGAAGCCTGGGAGGAAGCTTGAGGTTGGCTGATAGGTGGGAGGAAGGAATTGGCGCAGGCTGGCTGGCAGGCCATGCTTAGTCTGAAGAGGCAGAATTCATCCCAGCTCCATAAGTATCCTTTTCTGCAAGCCACACCTACCAGCCCTCCTTACTTCTTAAACCTTGCAAGGGATGGGGTAGGGGCTGCAGTAAGTCAAACTCCACTATCACTTTGTATAGGGAGAAGTGTTGCAAGAGGAAGGCTTAGAGCTACACTAGAAGAACAAAGTAAGACAGAAGATAGGTGCTTGAGGAGGTTCATGGGATCCCTTTCTTTCAAGGCCTTTCAAATTGAAGAGGTTTCTCTGCTTTCAGGCTTCCGTAAGTCACAGTGGTGGATAGATGACCTTTAGGGTCTTCTTTGCCAGTTGGCATGTGACACATAGGCTCTGCAGATCATCAGGAAATGCTTTTTTTGTGGAACCTGTGCAACTGGATTTGGGGTGGGAGAGAGGCAGGACCCAGGTAGATGGGGCTGACTGTAGTTAGGCCCTTTGATGGGTACAAATAGAAAAGCCTGGAGGAAATCTTGGAACAATCACTTTCCCATACATCGTTCTCAATGCCCACCTCAGGACTCATTATTTGAGCACATAGAAATCCTTGCTCTTTAGTTCAGCCCCAAGACTGTTAGGCATGGTGTAGTGGTGTGAGGATTGCAGCCAGTCCTGGAAGAACAATTATTTCTTTCAATTATTTCTTCTCTTTCCCTGAGAAAATCTTTTCAGGCCTTGGACTCTGGGGATACCCAGGAGCCTCTACCATTCACCAGGCATTTGGAAGGATCAGCTTTCCCCAGGGAGAAAGGATCTTGAGCCCCTGCCCAGGAGGATCAAAAGACAAGTCAACCAGCATTCAGCCAAATATATATCTTTTGAGTCAAATTCCACAGCACATCTGTCTGGCTGGGGAGAATGCTTCTATGGCTGGAAAGTGAACCATACTTAGCCGGGTTGCAGGGACAGTCTTTTCTCAGCATGTTCTGGGTTCTTCCTCCTCTAGGCAGCCCCAACTCCTCACACAGAGTTCTTTCCTTCACTGTTCACACCAAATTCAAATAATTGACTCACTGATTTGTTTTCCCACTGAACATGAACTCTCCAACTTATTAATGCCTGTGTGATCAGTCCCTTGTTTAGGGCATGGCACCTGGTAAGATGTTCAAGAAATCTGTGTGAGTAAATAATCAACAATATTGGGTGGTCTGAGCTAACTGCCTCTGAGTAGAACAGGCAGGGATATTATAGGTGTCCAGAGGAAGGAACTATCACTGTTGGTCTGGGTCATAGGAAAATGCTTGTGGAAGACATAAATTAGCCTTGATTTCCACTACTTTGAAATCACTTGAACTGATTTTTCCTCTCTCAGGAAAAATGAAGGTGGCATTTCCCAGAATTGATCTTTCTGTTCTTCCTCCTACAATCTATTAATCTACCTCAGTCATCCCCTAGTGTTTTGTGATATGCTGGAGCTGGCTCCCAATGGCTTGGGAGAGCCAATAGTGCTCATCTCTTCCCCACACACCTAGCATAGCTGGAAATTGCTCACCATGGGAGACATTGGCAAACACTACAAACCAGTGCTTTTTCACCTTGGGAGAGATACTTAGCAACTTTTATCAACACACTACCTACCTACTACTTATTCATGTCCTTTCTTCCTTTCTCTTCCATTTTCTTAACTCTCTTCTTCCCATCTATCTTCCTTCCTCTCTTCATTTCTGCCCTTTTCCCTTCCTTTTTTCAATTATTTATCCAATTTGCCAATGGTGTATTCATCCACCCATCTATCCATCCACCCATCCACCCATCCATCTATCCACCTACTCACCTACCCATCTATCCATACACAAATGTTTTCTGAGTATCCACTCTATGTCAGTCTGTTCCTAAGGCTCAGAATAATTCCCCAGACTTCTGGAAGACAGGTACATTAACTAAGGACTAGTGGAGGCCTCCCATTGTAGCACCCCAGACTCAGCCAGCATTGATGTTAGATCCATAACCAGAACACTTTGGTTTTCCTCTTTTGCTCCTTCTTGGCTTCCCTGCTTGTTCATCCTTGTAGCCTGTTCTTGCAGGGTTGGGGAGATTAGCAGACCAGGACAGTACTGCTCTTTCTCTATCTTTCCCTCCATGTCTCTGGCCAGAGCCCAGTGGAATTGGATCTGACTGTTTGAGAAAGGATTCCCCATCCTAGTAGGCCCCATGAGCTCTTAGCCAACTACCAGTGAGTTCAAATAAGAGATGGCTCTGGTAGGGCCTGAGAAAAGAGGCATCAGGTAAGAGGGAATCCCCATTATTAAGCCAGCACTCTCCAACCCCAAAATCACTCCACACCTCTTAAAATTCTGACTGATTTGTGAACCAAGTTTGTCTCTGCTTTTGTTCCCAGGGATGTTATTGCAAAGGATTAGCAGGATTAGCTGTTCAGCCCAGTAAGCCAAAGGGGCAGGGACTCCTGAGCTTGACCTGGATTCAAAGGGAAGGGGGGGGAAACCCACTCCCCTACACACTACTCAGAACCTGTCACCCCAGGCACACCCACCTTCTGTTCTGTCCCATTCAGCCCAGCCTGGGAGAGACACATTCCTTTACTCAATGGGGAGGCTTCCAAGGACTATGGCAGTGGATCATGGTTTAGAAATGACCAGGTGGCATATCCTAGCAAGTGTTCCTGTAGGTAGTCTGAGAGAGGACTTGGCTGTTAAGTTTTTCTTACTTTTCTTCCTGGGTTCTGCATTGATATAATAGTCACACTTGAACAGCTTGCCTCTGAAATAATCTGAGTTCCGTACTTCACTGGCTTCTTTTTGGAGGATATTGTCTGTGGCCTTGGCTCAGAGAGGGTGGGTAGATTTTTTCTGAGTCACACAGCATACCTCCTACTGTGGAGACAGATGAGAATTAAGTGTTTGGGACCCTAGGACCCAGCCATCTGGCCTGGCATTGTTTGCATTCCCCTCATTACTGTTTCTCTCTTTTAGATCTGAGCAAGTTCTGACCTGCCCTGACAGAAATAATGCAAGGTCTGTATGTATCTTGTTAGGGCTGCTGTGATAGGCATGATGTTCAGAAGCCAGCTTCTGTTGAAATAGTTAGGGGGCTCCATGACACTCTTAGTTGAAGAAGGAAATTTAGCATCTCAAAGGCCTAAGGCTCAAATCAGTTTGCCAGTTGACTTAGGTGAGTGAGTTACCTTCTTAGAGCTTCAGTTTTCTCATCTATTAAATAGCAAACATTGAACAAGTTATGTACCTAGGACAGTGCCTGGAAGTTGACAGGTTGGGTTAAATAATTAGTAGCCACTTCATTCCAAATCCTAAAACCCATATCAAACTAAACCCATCATTCCTGTTAAGATGAGAAGCAACTCCATTGTTTCAGGGCAGGGAATCTCCCCTCTGGAATCCAGACCCACAAATTACAAGGCTATTTGGCTTGTATGACCCAATTAATAGTCCTCTGTCCCATTGGCCTCTTCAGACACCTCACCTTTTACCCCAGGGGGCCCTCAGCTTAGCAAAGCCTGCCCACCTGTGAGAACAGAGGCTCCCAACTTTCCTGAGGAGAAAAAAGGTGCATCAAAAGGAAGCAGCCCAGCTGGTTGCTGAGCTGTGGAAAATAATTAAACTGGGGGAGAAAAAAAAAACACTTCTTTTAAAAATCAGGTTAGGTATGAATGTACAGGGTGTGGCCCCTGTATAATTAGTCTGTCTGAGGGTAAGGCGCCCTTGTGTCAGGTTTGCACCTCCTTTCTCCTCCTCCTCCTCCACCTCCTCCCTGTTCCCTATAGGTGTGTCTCCTGGCTCTTTGGCTGCCTGTCCCACTTCCCACTCAGAGGCCCACCGGAGAGGTCACCACCCTGCAGCCCCAGTGATCCTGAAACAGACCAGCCAAGGGCTTGCTATGGAAGCTGCAGATGCCTCGCAGAGTGATGGGGCCAGCCCGGGGGCCAGTCCGGAAACCAGGGAAGCCCGCAGTCTCCCAGGCCCTACCAGCAGCCTGGAGAATGGGGCCAAGGCTGATGGTAAAGATGCCAAGACCACCAATGGGCATGGTGGGGAGACAGCTGAGGGTAAGAGCCTAGGCAGCCCCCTCAAACTAGGTGAGGGAAAGAACTCCCTGTTTTTGGGGAACGAGTGGCGAAGGCCCATCATTCAGTTTGTGGAGTCCGTGGATGACAAGGGCTCCAACTACTTCAGCATGGACTCTGGGGAAGGCAAGAGATCCCTCTATGCTGGGCTTCAGCTGGGGGTTTCCAAGAAGCCGCCGGTCACCTTTGCTGAGAAGGGGGAGCTGCGCAAGTCCCTCTTCTCGGAGACTCGGAAGCCCGCCTCACCCATTGCAGAGCCTAGTGAAGTCGGGAGGAACAGCTACCCCCGGGCGGACCCGGGCATCCTCCTGCACTCCAAGCTGGGCTCCGAGGAGGTCCTCTGTGACTCCTGCATTGGCAACAAGCAGAAGGCTGTTAAATCCTGCCTGGTATGCCAGGCCTCCTTCTGTGAGCTGCACCTCAAACCCCACCTGGAGGGCGCTGCCTTCCGTGATCACCAGCTACTCGAGCCCATTCGTGACTTTGAGGCCCGCAAGTGCCCCCTGCATGGCAAGACCATGGAGCTCTTCTGCCAGACGGACCAGACCTGCATCTGCTACCTCTGTATGTTCCAGGAGCACAAGAATCACAGCACCGTGACGGTTGAAGAGGCCAAGGCCGAGAAAGAGGTAACTTACCAGGCTCCTCCCTCAATGGCCCTCCAGGTCTTCCCTCTCTCACCAGTGTCTCTCCATCTGATGTCCTCCACTGAGGATTTCTACGATTGGGGGTTTAGTATACTGTCTCTGGCTCTTTTTTGCCCCTGTACGTCCCCAAGCTTGAGGTCAAAGACAGTTCTCCAATACTCCAAGGCCTTAAGAGATAGGGAATTTTCCTAGAGGAGTAAACACAGGCTCAGAGAAGTCTGGGGGCTTGGCGAAGATCATAAGATAAGTTCAAGTCAGATCAGAAGATCAGTAATCCAGGGCTCTGCGCCTGGCTGGTGTCTTCCTTCCCTCCCTCCCTCCCACCCTCCCTCCCTCCCTCCCTCCCTTCCTTCCTTCCTTCCTTCCTTCCTTCCTTCCTTCCTTTCTTTCTTTTCTTTCTTTCTTTCTTTCTTTCTTTCTTTCTTTCTTTCTTTCTTTCTTTCTTTCTTTCTTTCTTTCTTTCTTTCTTTCTTTCTTTCTTTCTTTCTTTCTTTCCTTCCTTTCTTCCTTCCTTCCTTCCTTCCTTCCTTCCTTCCTTCCTTCCTTCCTTCCTTCCTTTCTTCCTTCCTTCCTTCCTTCCTTCCTTCCTTCCTTCCTTCCTTCCTTCCTTCCTTCCTTTCTTTCTTTCTTTCTTTCTTTCTTTCTTTCTTTTCTTTCTTTCTTGGGAGAGAGACTTCTTAAATTCTCTTTGAGCAGGACTGGCCCCTGGGGAATGGGTCATGGGTGAGAAGAAAGAAATTTTGACCTTTAAATGTCCTTTTTTCTCTGGCTTTAGAGTTTGCATTTGCAGGACAGTGACTTGGTGCTCTATCTGTTCCCCCCAGCCAGTCTCTTGGCTCCCTCAGTGGCCTCCCTGTGTACATTTTGTGTGTGGTTGCATGAAGAATGTGCCTCTATCTGTAGGTGGAAACTATTAGTAAGGGTTGGTGTTTACATGTGGACGGGGTACGTACGTGTGTGTGTGTGTGTGTTTATATGCATATGGGGGTTTATGTGCATATGTAGATGTTTGCATTCATTTGTATATGTGATATGTAAGTGTGTTTGCATGGGTTACATATCTGTAGTTATGTCTGTACTTCTATGCAGAGGGGTAGAGGATGTGAAAGCTATGAATTTGGTAAACCTGGAAAAGGTGTTTTGGTTTAAAAGCTTATCTTTGGCAACTGCCCTTTGCCCCACAGAGGTTGGACATGCTCTTTCCAGAAGCAACACAGCTTCTGCCATGGGCAGCCTCCCACTTGGGTGAACCTACTGGTGGTGAATGCAGGGGGCTGACTTTCCTCAAGAGCTTATTCACCACTCAGGATGGGGCAGCAACGGAGCCCTCCATGCCTCACCTTCGCAAACCAGGAGCTTGTGGATTACCCTCATCCTGCACCCCTTGCCTGCACCTCTGGGCAAGAGAGAAAAACTGGAGATGGGGAATTACTCAAAGATGCTTTTTAGAAGCCTCATTTGGCCCAGGAAGAAGGTATTCCCAGCAACCCATACTTTCCCACCCCAGCCTGGCTTCCAGCCTCCTACTGGAAGAGAGATGGGGCAGGGGTTATGGAATCCATCCTTCAGGAGTTTACTTGGGGAGTCAAAACATATCAAAGGGAAATCATCTTCATCCACTGAAACCAATAACCTGACTGAGTTTAACAGACCTGACTGAGTTTAACAGCCCTGACTGAGTTCTTTTCCTGGTTTTTGCCACTAATCAGCTGTGGACAACTCCCTTTCATTATCTCAGTTTTGGTTTTCATATACATGAAACCAAGGGTTTGGACTAGATTGGTGGTTTTCAAATTACCCTCATGGAGTCCTGGGAGTCATGGAAATATCTTTGAAGCCTCAGGGATGAGGAAAAGGGAAGGTTTGTGACAAGAAGCCAGGTCTCCAGCTTCCCACATTTTCTACAACAGCACACACTCTTATTTATGTGTCTTAAATATAAGGTTTGCCCCCAAATTTTATCTGAAACAAGGGTATCACCACTTAAGAAAAGCCCAAGTGCCACAGAGGACAGAAGGATGGTGGGTAGCTTTCTCTGGAGGCCCCAGGAGCTTGGAGTTTATGTTCTGGCACTGGAGCCTGTGTAACACTCAAAGATGCAGTCCTGGCCCTTGAGGACTCACGATGCAGATCAACAGGTAGAGCTCAGACACAGAAAAAGTTGGAACATATTCCCTTTTACACAGTAGCTTTAGGTAAACATCAAATCACAGAGGACAGAATGCCAGGCAGAATGGAATATTAGCAATCTCATCCATCTCCTTTTCACCCTGCAGATAGGAAATAAGCCAGAGAAAGGAAAGGATCTGTCCAAGCTTGTAGAGTTTGAGCAAGAATGTCCCTAAGTTCTTCTAGTATTTGAGAAAAGCATTGAAAGGATAGTATTCAGACTATGTGTGCTTTACAGGAGTTTTCAGGGAAAAGCATCTGATCCACTGAAGTGACTTTAGTGGTGGGAACTTCATGCAGTGTGTGTGTGCCATCAGCATAGGTGTAGACAGGAAGGAGTGGTGCTAACCATCCAGGAGACTGAGATGGAGAAGAGCAATTTGTCTAGGCCTGGCTCTACTGGAATGTCAGAAATGGGGGACATTGGCACAGAGAGGAGTTACATCAACTCCGGCATCTTTTGAAGGCCTTCCCTTCAGACCCAAACATCAGTTCCCAAACAGCTTTTTACAAGGAGCTCTGTGCAGAACCTGTTATACAGGCTGGCTGGTGAAAACCCAGGTGAGATCATCTCAGACCTATCATGGTTAGCTATATGAAGCTGTAGATGACACCAGGCTATGGTTGTTCATCTCCTGGGCCTCAGCTTTACCTATAGAGCCTGAGCAGAGGCAGTGTTGGGGCAAGGTCACTTGGTATGGCAATATGACAATTCTTTCTCTGGTGCACCCAAGATTAGAATATTTTCATTTCCACCATAAAGGGGTCCTGCAGATACCATCTTGTCCACTACCTCTGCCTCTTGACATTTCCCAGGCTAGATGAGGCTGATAAAATTATCATGTACATGTGCATCCCTTCCTGTGTCTGTCCCAAGTCCCTCCTGCTGCATTCAGTTAGGATGGATTCCTCCTGGTGAATGGCTGCCTGCTCTCGGGCAGCCTGCCTGGCTTCTGCACCCACCAGTGTCCCTTCTCTGTTTTGGGTCCAGGCTGGGCTCTAGGTTGGCAACATGGCAAGCCATGTGTGGAGGAGCACTCAGCCCAGCATCACTCTAGAGGCATGAGTGCCCTGCTCTTCACTGAGGCTCAGACTTAGCACCTGGGCCACACTTCCAACTCCATAATTTGGCTCATTTTGTTACTCTGACCATGCCCCATAGTTTTGCTTCTCACCTCATTGCTTTATTCTTCCATGAAGGCTGAGCTACCAGGCTACTGGGCATGGGCAGTCACTGATCCTGCAGCCTTAAAGGCTGTGCTGGTGTGGGTAAGAAAGCTCTTTGGACAGATGACAGTGACAGGTTTAGGGAGAAAAGCCAGCCTAAAGGCCTGGGGTGTGATGGAGGAGCTGGGGGTCACAGGAGATTTTGGAGGAGAACTCTTGCTCTGGGACAGGGTAGGTAAGAAAAGAAGGTAGGTTTATTGCTAAGAGTGCTGAAGGGGAAACAACAAAATACAAGAAGTTTAGAGGCAGGAGGCAGAGGCGGAAAGTGACAAACAAGTAGGCAAGAGGCACACCAGTTTTTAGCTATCTTTGTCTATGTGTTGGGAACTGGCCTTGGCATTCACATGGTTGCTGCTGACAACAGTCCCACCAGGTGGGAGTTACTGCACTGATTTTATAGATGAAGAAATAGGCTCAAAGATGTCAAAAACTTACCTGAAGTTATGGTACTGGGGACTGGCAGTGCTGAGGCTCAAACTATTAGTGTGCCTGCAGCCTAGGCTGTCTCCTCTCCACCATTTTAAACTTTGTTTTTGTAGGACTGGCAGGCTGTCCTTGGAGGCATTGAGCCCAGTGGCCTCTGACCTGCATTGTCTGATGCATTGTTAAGACACAGATTCCTGGGCCTTAACCCAGAAGATTCTGAAACAGGGGACCAGAGTCTGGGATCTTTCTTTTTAAGACTCCCATGGGGATTCCTAATATGTTGTCAGGCTAAGAATCAGGGATCTAGTTCAATTTCACCAGTAGGAAACCAAGGCCCAGGGAAGTGGGTGACTTCCTCAAGGGCTCAGCTTGTCTACAGATGACTTGTGTGATGTTCTTCCCACCCTATCTTGCCCCTTTCCTATTCTAACACCTGAGGAAGCAGAGCAAAGGATAAACCCCAATTAAGTAGACTAATAATGGGCCAGTTGACATCTGAGTGGAAATGGGGAAATCTATCTAGAATTTCAGATTCTTATCCAGATAATTACCATTTGTTTGAGAATACAAATTTGACAATTAACTGGCTCATTTGGCAAATTTCACAGCTAATGGCCCATGTTGTTAATTTGGCCAGAGGAAGATCATGGCCTGATCTCCAATCTCCCTCCCCCGAGGGCAGTGCAAATACACGTGTCCAGGAAAATATTCACGTGTGTCTGCACCTGAAGGCCCCATCCAAGCTGAGACACCACCAGCTGCTGTGCCACTTTCTACTCTGAAGGAAACCTCTGATTTCAAGGCTGAGTGGCCCACACAGGGCCTGTCCCAGGCACCAGGTCACCAGACAAGTGTGGAAGAGGGAACAAAGGAGACATTTAGGGACAGGCCTGAGCAGGGTCAAAAGAATGAAATGAGAAGTAGGAAAAAAATCAGGAGAGAGGGGTAGGTAGGGAGCTGTGCGAAGCTGAGGCTTCACCAGACATCAGGGACTTTAATCACCTACCAAGGGAGTTAGGAGAGAGGGAGAGAGAGCGCTGGGGTCTTAAGCAGCAATGAGGAGGGTGTGAGAAGGAAAGGGGGAACAACAAGAGAAAGACATGGACCCACCTATGAAGTGGGAAAGACTGGGTGAGCTGAAGTAGCAGTAGTGAAGGGAAGGATGCTGTCCTGGAAGGTAGAGAGAACAACCTGGAGGTTAAGAGGCCACATGATAGAATCTGAGTGTTGTTGGCCTCACCACTTTCCAGCTTTAAGAGCTCAGGCAAACTGTGCTGTCTTCCTAGGTCTTGGTTTCTTCATCTTTAAAATGGGGATAACACCACTCACCTTCACAGTGGGTTTTGCAGATTAAAGGAGAAATGCCTGGCACATAGTAGGTGCTCAGTAATACAAGTGATATCCTTTCATCCCTAGAGTTACAGGAGAACCCAATATCTTTGGAGCCTTCCTTATTACATTATTTTCTATATCCTTCCCTTTCCAGCAGGGGTATTGACGAGAGGTAAACAGATGCTGGAGAGATCTCCAGGGGACTCACCCCAAACCCTCCTCATCCCAGGCATGAGAAAGGACTGCTCTAGTGGCAGAGTTTCAAGTCTAAGGTCCCTTCCAAGATCTCACTCTGTTCTGCAATTCTGGTCCTGCAAGGTGTGCTGTGGGAGCCAGGCCTCCTCCCAGCCTGTGTCCAACATTCTTAGTGTCCCAAAGAAATAAGACTACTCTCTGTACACTAGCTGATTCTTCCACCCACTGCTGTAGACAGTGTGTCTCCACTTTTGACTGCCCTCACATGGTTCCAGACCAGCCACTTCTCCCTCCTCCCTTGGTCATTGGCAGACACCTCTTCACACCTCAGCTAGCTTTACAGTCCTCCCTCCCTCTTACATAGAATGGGCTTGCAGTGGCTGACTCCCTCTGCCCTTGGCCTAGACTTTTCTATTTTTCTAAACCTCATTGGATTCCCCTTCATCTGTGCTCAGTTACCTTCTTCCCTCCTTTTGGCCAGTGAATCCATGCTTGTCTGGCTATGAGCTTTCCTCACTGGCAGGCCTTGATGCAGCCACATTCCTCTCTCCCTAACCCCATGGTTCCCAGAAGGTCCCACTGAGCACTTTTGTTCACTCCAGACACTTGACTCTTCTGGTCCTCAAATTTTCTGGTCAAATCTCCCACTTACAGGTGGTTAGTCCACCCTTACCTCCTTTTTTCTACCTCCATTCTGGTCTCCCCAGTACCCTCCAAACTTCAGCTATCCATGATGAAAGCCTCTACTTTGCACCTTTGGTCTAAGTCTCAACCTCCTGGCCTTTCTATGCACAATTTGCTCTGTATCTTGACAGTATACACATTACACCTGGACCCCAATGCAGAGACACATGCTGTGCTTATCACTAAACACCAAGATTCCACCTGATCATACTTGCCCACTCCCCTCACTTACATGTGCCCTGCTGGCTTGCCTGCCACACTGCACTTAACCCTCTGGTGCATGGAAAGTGCCACAACAGTGACAATGGGATTACTAATCAGTTCTTTTTCCATGCCAGGCACCTTCAGAGAGCTTCACTCCCTGATCCTAGTTCATCCCACAGCCTCCTTGGGAGGCAGTCCTCTTCCTACCTCCATGAAAGATGGAGAGACCGAGGCACTGAGAAGTTAGGTACTTTGCAAAGACCACCTGTCTGGAGGTGATGGTAACTAGATTTAAGCCTTTGGCTTCCCAGTCCTGTGCTCTGGGTGGGCTCCTTCCTGGGTTCCCAATGCTCATTTTGTGGTAAGGCTGCCCTACCCCCGAACCCCCACCAGGCCTGAGGTAGGAGTGTTATGAGCTTTTATTCTCTGCTTTCTTGCCTATCAAATCTTGTTTAGGGGATGGTGAAGTGAGGGTGGGAAACTTAAGTGCCAGCTCCTCCATTCCTGAGCCAGTGGAAGGGAGGCTTCCAGCTGTCCCATCAACCTTAGGTCAGTGCAGGAGTTCTCTAGGGATGGAAAATTGCCTGGGGAAGACCTGTTGTCCAACCTTTTGGTCCCTTCCTCACAGCTATGATCTGCTCGTCAGGCCCAGACTTCTTGGGGCTTTCCAAGATCCTGGCTTTGCCAACCTCTGTATTCTAGATCCTTGAGCTCTACATCTTCAGACAGTGTGAGGGTTGAGTCTCTGCTGTCCACAGTGGGTTCTTACTTCCTTTGCTCTCTACTTCCCCGTCACTGAGGAGATGGCTGTTGGCAGTTGGCTTCTCCTCAGCCTTTTCCCAGAGAGCTGGCCAAATCCCCATATGTGCCTTCTTTTATTCCCTCCCCTTGACAACCCTTTTCTATCTCTGGTGAGGCATTTTCCATGTCGTGGGATTTTCAGCTCATTACTGAAAGGGCAGCTGCTTTCTGAGAAGAACCTATAGTCTCCTAGCTGTAAAGCCCGGGAGTGTGTGTTGGGCTGGGAGGTGAAATCAGGAACTTTCTGTTGCAGAGCTCTGCAGTGCCTGCCCCAGGTCTTTTCTACCTTCTCTGCTAGTATCCCAGCTCTCTGGGCACATTCTCCAAACAATCCAAAATAGCTCTCTCTGCTGTCAGTTCCCTTCCCTGGGTGTTTGCAGCAGGTTCTCCATCAGCAACTCCTTTGGTGATGTGGAAAGTTCAGGAGGTGTGACATATGGGGAAATCTGTGCCCAGCTGCTCAGGACTCCTTGCTGATGGAGCTCATATTCCTAGTTGTTTGTGGCTTCCTCATCTTGACTATTCTTGTATATTACTCAAAGAGATGGCTGGAGAAAGGGGTGGCCTCTGCATTTAAACCCCACTGTAGCAAGGAGAACTGGTGCACTCCAAGGCTTTCTCAATGACTTGGTTTTTCTGCCTGTCAGGTGGAGATCACCCACCTGTCTTCCAAGCTGGAAGGTGCTTTCAAAGCATTAATGGGGAGCCCAGCAGGAAAAAGAGGAGCCTCTTGGCTTGCCTAAATTGAATTGGCCTTAGCCTCATGCCTCCCCTTTTGTCTCTATTGTAGCTGCTTTTCAGAGTAAGTTATTTTTAAATAGAAGGGAAGTATGGATATAAGAACTCATGCCCCAGTATATTCCTGATAAGTCCTCTTTGCAACCCTCCTTAGACTCCAACAGTCCCCTGAGCAAGGATTCCCTAGAACCTCTCCTGGTCCTTTCTGCATCTACCCACCACTACTTCACTCACTAAATAATGTTCCCTGCCCTAAATAAAGTTTCTGTCTTGTCCAAACTGCAGATTGCATTCCTTTTCCCATAAACAGGTTTATAGCTGTGCCTGCCCAGACAGAGTCCCCACCAGCAACAAACCTGGTTCCAGCTTGCAACATAGGCCTTACATCATGCCATAGAAATGTTACACACTGTTTCTGCCACAGGACACTCCCTGGGTTGGGCTGGGCTGGGCCCCCTTCTTCCCCTTGGCAGGGGCTTGAAAGAGGCAGGAGCTTTCTTCCTTCATACCAATAGCCCCAGGTCCACTGAAAGGAATTAGCCCCTTTAAAGATATGTCTGGGATGTCCAACCCCAGAGGTCTGAGTTTACAGTGTTTTGTATCCTTGGCAACTGGCATGGTGCCTGGTCTATCTGAAGTCCTAATGAGGGTTTGCTGAATGAAGGGCTGGATGGATGAGTGAGCTCTGTCAAGCTTACTCCCCTGGTAGGCCCCCTCCCTGATTCTTACACCTCTTTCCCCTGACTTTTCCTTCAACCCTGTCCCTTCCCTGCAGACAGAACTGTCACTGCAAAAGGAGCAGCTACAGCTCAAGATCATCGAGATTGAGGATGAAGCTGAGAAGTGGCAGAAGGAGAAGGACCGTATCAAGGTAAGCAGCCCCCAGGCCTCTCCCTTGCTGTACTCTTATCCCACCTGTCCTCCTGGGAGGAGGCAGACCTCCTGTTTAAGAGAGGCCCACATTTACATATGGATTTTCCCACTTGCTTTAACATTCCTACCAATTTCCCTTCTAAGTCTGGGTCAGGCATCCAGGTAGAATCTTGTCTATCACCTAACACTCATTTTACATTATACCAGGAAATAATGGCCCAAAAAACTGTCTTCAAATGTCCCCATTGTCTGCTCTGTCCACTAGACTATCCAGACACCAGATGCTTGCCATTTTTTCTTTACTTCTGCCAGTATGGCTAGAGGTATGTCTGCCATGGTTCAAGTAATTGCAAACCACAATATGAAATTATTGACTCATGGCCCTGACTGCATAAACATCCATCAGTTCACTTTCTGAATGAGGTTTGGTCCTGGTTGAGGTTTCAATGAGCATATCCTGACTCATGCAGGCACTTTTAGGTCCACAACATTTCCTAAGGGTGGAGTAATAGTAGGGAAGGAGCCCCAGGTGGATTAGGAAAGGTGGGCTATAAAAAACCTGGCCATCTCTATCAAAAAATGGCATCTCTCAATGATGCCTCGAATAAGAATTTCAGTCAAACAGGCTTGCTGGGTGGGACAATCTGACTGTGTTGGGAACCTAAAGGTACATAGGGAGTAATTTAAAAACCATGAAGAGGCTTTTAAATTACTGAAACTCTCTTGATCCTCTCACTCTGGATCTAGAGTTTCACCACCAATGAGAAGGCCATCTTGGAACAGAACTTTCGGGACCTGGTGCGGGACCTGGAGAAGCAAAAAGAGGAAGTGAGGGCTGCACTGGAGCTGAGGGAACAGGATGCTGTGGACCAAGTGAAGGTGATTGTGGATGCTCTAGACGAAAGGGTCAAGGTGCTGCATGAAGACAAGCAGACCAGGGAGCAACTGCATAACATCAGCGACTCAGTGCTGTTTCTCCAGGTAACAAGCAACCCTTTCATCATTCAGTCCCTCAGTCCTCTCATCCACTTTCTCAGACCCTCATTTATCCTCTATCCATACTCTCATTCATCAATCATTCACCCATCCAAGATCCACTCCATCTATCCATTTAATTTTTCTATCCAAGCCATTTCCCTACCTAAGCCAAAGATGATACACAAAAATCATCTCGTACCAAATTCAAATGATATTCACCAACAGTGCACTATGCACAGTAGAAAAAGTTCTGTGATTGATTAATGATGCCTTCTTTGGCTATGGGATAGTGGCAGGTAAGTGTTGCTTACTTGTTATCTTTGATCTTGTCTCTTTATCTATTCATCCATCCACCCTTCTATCTGCTAGTGTGTTTTGGGTACTACCACATGTGTAGTACTCTTATTAGGTGGTATGAGGAATAGAGAAGTATAAGACATGGTTTTTTTCCCCCAAGAAGCTGCATCTAGCTGGGAAGATAAGACATGTACAATTAGAGAACCGTATGTAAGAGTGTATAATTAAATGATAAAATGTGATTCAGGAGATAAGTGCCTGTGGAAACTCTGAGAAGGACAAGCAGGCTTGAATAATCTACGACAGCTTTGTGGAAGAGGTAGAATTTGAATTGGCTCTTGAAGGCCCATTATGATTTGAGAAGAATAGAGATTCTCTGGGAAGGGGTAGGGGAAGGGAGAGGTGCAAAAGTGTTGGGGCAGGATTGAATGTGACATGTAAAGGTGGAGACACCAATGTGACCAACTCACAATGCTCTAACAATTCTTGGAATTTCCTTATCATTTGCACTCCCACAGTCTTCACAGCTCATGTTACTCTCCTAAACCCTATGAGGAAGGCATGATGTATCCAGTGTTGGAGGTAGGAACCATGGAGCCATATATCTGACTGCTAATGATAACAGAAATGTTATCATCTAGTGTATTTTAGTCAAACTCTTTCATTTTACAGAAGGAGAAGCCAGTGTCCCCAGAGAAGAGAAATGGGACTAGTAAATAGCAGAGCTGGATCTAGAACCCAGCGCCTCTGAATCCCAGTGCTGAGTCCTCCATCTGGACTGTGGCAGTCTCCTACAGAGAAGGATCCCCCAAAACTTCTAAAGACCCCAGAGATTAATGGCTTCTCTCCTTTTTTTGGTAGGAATTTGGTGCATTGATGAGCAATTACTCCCTTCCGCCTCCCCTGCCCACCTATCATGTTCTGCTGGAGGGGGAGGGCCTAGGGCAGTCACTTGGCAACTTCAAGGATGACCTGCTCAATGTGTGCATGCGTCACATTGAGAAGATGTGCAAAGCAGACCTAAGTCGTAACTTCATTGAAAGGAACCACATGGAGAACGGTAGGTCCCTCTTGTGGGCAGACCCCAAGGCTGTGGGCATTTTTCTCCTATATCAATCTTTGCTGCCTTGTACAGATTGGCATCCACCAACTGACCCCTCATTGCTCCTAGCCACCTGTTGCACCTAAGGTGTTGGTACTAAGATTCAGGGATTGTAGCCCCTGATTGAACTTGCTGCCAAAGTTAGGTAGCCATTACAAGGGGCTTCCAGGGCAGGAAGCATCTGGGCACCAGCTGCCCATATGTCTCTGCTCGGTGGTCGTCCATAAAACTTAGGGACTGGTCTCATTCAGATCCATATCTGATTGTCAGGCCCTATCCAGAAGCTGTGTGTATGCTGCCACTTGTAAGGGCCAGACTCCAAACTGGTAGCTTTGCAGACTCTAGTAAGTGTGACATAGAACTGTGCTTTGATGGAGAACTTTCATGACTGTGCTGAGTGGTGTTGAGCCCAGAGGCTGGGTTCGGCCTGGGGCCAGGCTGGCAACAGTGGAACACAGCATGTCTCAGTGACTCACCAGCTCTCCTGAAGTCAGCTTCTTTTCTGAGTCATGCTGTACCCCACAGAAGGCAACTGAATAATCTCACAGAAAGCCTCTGAACCTGAGAACTACCTTGTTAAGTCTTTTCCACCAGTCCCAGCCCAGTCCTTTTAGCGCCTGAATCCTGGACGCTTTTCCCAAAGCCCCACCCAGTGCCTAAGTCAGCACAGGCCTTGAGGACACAGCTTCATTAATGAATTCTGGCCCCAGAACACCAAAGAAAGTGACCCCGTCTTTGGTCCCAAGATGAAGCATATGATTTCTTGGAGATGAGAAGGGGATAATAGTGTGCAGAAGTGCCAGGGTTTATTTAGCAAAGCACCTGTATATTTTGGAGATGGTGACATCACACAGTGTCCCTGTGAAACTGGGGGACATTAAGTCACACCTGAGGACTGATAAACCATTGAAGCAAGACAAACTCTTGGCTTTAAGTGTAACTCAGGTCCTGAAATCCTCCTTCTAGTGGTGATGGCAATGGTGACAGCTGGCAGAGATTGAGTGCACCTGTATGCTGGTTTTGTGAAATCTCCTTACTCACAGAGTCATCTTTTCCCAGTGGGTTGTATTGAATTTTACAGATAAGAAGGCTGAGGCTCAGAGAAGTAGCTTTTCAAAGAACACACATCTAAACAGGGGCAGCAGTTGTGTTTCACACTCTGCTATTCAATGTCCCATGTCTTCTCATCTGAGAAGCTGCTAGTGCTGGTGACCATGCAGAGGGTTAGAGAGTGTGATGATCACGGTCCCTGGGGTACAAACATGGTGGAAAAACCTTTCAGCTGAGGTATGGCCACATCTGTGAGGATGGCCCTCACTGGGTACATGTGGCCTGTGAGTCTTGCAGGGGTCCTGCCTTCCATCCACCCACTGTGCCATTTCTAGGTCATGATTGCATTGGTCATGGCCTCTGTCCAGGGTGGCCCTGTGCCCTTTGCAAGGTGTGTTGGGAGGTGGCTTCCAGGAACAGGGATGGTGCTTCTGATGTCAGCAGCCCTGCACCTGTGCCTGAGACCCTGGGCCTCCATGTTGATTTTTGTTGCTGCTACATGGTTGGGAATGTGTTTGGCTAAAGGAAGCAGGGGGTGGGTGGCCCATGAGTCAGACCTTGGAGTGACCATCCTTTCTTCCTGAGACCTGCCCATCCACCAGACCAGGGTATCATTCTACTATCAAAGGCCTTGGGGCTAAGGGACACTAGGCTACCTTCATCTTGAGTTTGGGAAAGGGAAGGAAGGGGCTAGGACAACACCTAGGAAGACATTTGTTTGTCATGGAGTGCCTACTGTGTGCCAGAGCCTGCTAGGTACAGGTGATAGAGATGAATAATGAGGGTTTGAGCCATTCATTTCCTTCTCTTGCCCAGAGTAGAGGGAGAGTGAAGGGCAGTGGGAAAACAGGGGGAATTGTGAGAGAAAGAAATGGGGCAGAGGGCAGCTAGGGAAGGCAAACATTGAGATATAAATTAATTTTGGTTTGTGAGTCTGATGGTTGGGGTGGAGGTGGGTGGAGGAGTCAGTGCCCACTCTGAGAAGCTCATTCCTCTCTGCATACCTCTGCACAATCCCTGACCATGGAGACCAGTGCCAGGGCATCACTCCACCCTCTTGAGGTGCCAGTGGTGGCTGGGACAAAGCTAGGAAGTGGGGCAGGGCTCAAACCCCAACTCTGCCCTGAGCCTCAATTTCCTTATCTGCCACATGGCAATAGATCTTCCTAACAGTCCAGGGGCTGATGCATACATTAAATAAGAAGTGGATATTAGTATCACCTTGTGAATTGCAAAGTTCTAGGCACATAGTCTTACAAGGTCTGCCCAGGGGTGGGTGAATGGCTCATTGCAATCCCTTGTTCTTACAGGAGCTCAAGACCAGAGGGGATGCTGGGCAGAATGTTACTTTCTCTGAGGTTGGGGTGCCTTGCCTTTCCTTGGGGCAGAGAGGGCTATGGGCTGACTCAGCCAATCTTAGGGATGACCCCAGTGGGTCAGCTTTTCCTCCCCACAGCCCCTCTGCTGACCGGACCTTCCTCTTTCCCAGGGAGTGACCACCGCTACATGAACAATTACACTAACAGCTACTCAAACGAGTGGAATGTGCCAGACACCATGAAGAGATACTCCATGTACCTCACACCAAAAGGTAAGGGAGAGTCCTGTCACACTGGGAAAAGACTCAGCCAGATTCCCTATGGGTAAAGTGACTGTCCTCAGTCTGCCTGGGGCTGTCATAGCATGTACCTATTGTTCCAACATAATCATTAATAGGGCCTCCTCTTGCTCTAAGAAGCATCCTCGCTTATGTTCATGCTTATTATCTGGCACTCTGCTCCTCAGAGGCTCCCTTCCCCTGTGACACAGGCAGTCCCCACCCTCCCCTTACCTATAGCCCACACCCTTCCTTCTATTTCCTTCCAGAAGGTCTCCTGGCTGCTAGTCTCACCCACTCCCATCTGCCAGACCAAGCTGTGTTTTGCTTCTGCTTAGGTTTTTGTAGTGCTGAAGAAGTATGGTTCCCCCAGAATCATTCTGGTTCTCAAGGGCAGAGAGACTGATGGCTGTTCTCAATTCCTCATCATTCCCTCCCTATGTGGGGTGATATACCATGCATCCTGGCCTTCTCAGCCCTCCTCCAGGCCCTGGGGAGTCCTGTCCTGCAATGGTAACAACCTGGGTGTGGGTATAGACCAGTGCCTGCCTGTCTTTGCCCTGTGGTAACCTGTTACATTCTTTGGCACCAACAGCAAACCACAACAATGCCCATTATATAAGGTGGGTATGCCAGGCCTACCAGCCTCAGATCGGGGGAGGGTGTGCAGGCATGTGTTGGGGAGGGGAGTTTGGAGAAGAGAAAGGTATGAGGAAAAACCAGACAGGACACATGGAAAAGGCACAAGGGATTGGGAGAGGGGACCCTCAAACCCTCAGCACCAATTCACACACCTTAGCCACACATACATTGGGAGGGACTTAGAGGTTTGGTAGAGATGAGCTCAATGGAGAGGAACCTCTGCTGCCCCACCCAGTTTGAAAACAATACATGAACTTCTGGTGGAGACCTGGCTAGACAGCTGGCAGAAGAGTCCCCCACCCTTACATTCCTTGTGTGGGATGACCAGTCCTGCCCCCTGCCCATCTCAGGGTGCAGCCCTTTGGACTTATTATGTGAGACCTACACTAAGAAACCACTGTAGCATCCCTCGCCTAGGCTGTCTCTTTTCTAGCTCTCCCATTCCAGAGAACCAGACCCTGATATGGCATTAAGCCCCCAAAGTTGTCCCTGCTTTGCTCCCCTATTCTGTAGAAGATTGGGGAGAGTGCAGGCTCCACTGCAGGCTGTGAGGAGAGATGCAGAAAAAAGCATGGGCTCATCACGATGTCACCCTGAGAGCCTTGGACTGGTCACTGCCTTCTCAGTGTTCCTGTCTGAGAAGAGAGGAGGTTGGACTTGCATGCTAGGAGAGCTTCCAGCTCTCTCAGTGGGAGTAAGGCTTTGACATCTGTAGGTGGAAGAAACAGGTTCATCCAGTGTCCCTGCCCCTACCTTGGGGACAGGAGAGAGGAGAACATTTGCCTTCTGGGAGCTCCCAGGCTCAGGGTTGAAGCAAGGGAAGGGCCAAAGAGAGTCAGCAAAATCAGGAAACAAGGCCATCAAAGGGCTACCAGCTTGAGTCTAGGAGATATGAGGCAGTGGGATTGGGCAGTAAGGCTTCCCAGGAGGAATTGGTCTCCAGGATCCTAGAAAGAGGGGAGAATGCTCAGTAAAGAGGGCATGGCTATGATGGCAGAAAACACTGGGATGGGAGGAATGAGGAACTGCAGGTGCAAAGGTTTAGAGAAAGGACCAACAGCTGCTGGGCCATGTGGGCTGGAACTGGGGTGGGGGGCAGGCTGGTTAGGTGGGAGGGGAGGAGTCAATAGAAGGATTCTGACACACATGGAAAGTGTATTTTCTTGGTCTGTAAAGTGGGGGTATGTATCCCACTCTGTGATCCTTTCAAGGTTGATGTAAGAGCAGAAATTTGGGGATGGTGGTAAGCACCTCTGCGGTATAAGGCTCCTGTCCCTGGGGGGAAGCACCTGAGTCATGTTCCTGGGCAGCAGCTCATCAAGCCCCTCATTTGGCCAAGGGCCCAATGCCTTATAATTTCCATGGCCCTCCTTCCTCATGGGAACCCCATTTCCCAGCCTCTGGGATTTCAGTCACAGGGGGACTGGCTCAGGAGGAGAATGTTTGCTTTTCTGGCCTCTGGTGATCCTCAGTGCTCCCAAGGAGAGTAACCATGTGTATCAGTCTGTCCAAAACTGTGGGTTGTGCCTGGTGCTCTTGGCATAATTATCAGTAACACCCATTCATTCTCAAAGTTGTCCCAATTTGGATGGTAAATTAAGTGACTACTTTGTTCAAGACCCAAAGGAGCTGTCATAGTGGTGGAATCTAAGTCCTGGGACAGGTACTGGGAGCCATTTAAAGGCAAGGAGACCTGCCTAACTATCCTTCAAGTCAGAGGCCACAAGCTCCCTACTGAGCCAGGTCCACCTTTCTGTGAGGACAGCCCCTTCTTTTCTTCACAGCTGGGGGCAGAACATCATACCAGCCAGTGTCCCCGAGTCGCCTCTCCAAGGAGATCAACCAGAAGAACTTCAATAATCTCTATGGCACCAAAGGTAGGGAGGTGGCTCAGCTCGAGGGTGGGCAGGACTTTTGTGGGCAGGAGGGGAGAGTTGGGCCATGGGAAAAGGGGCTAGACTCCCCAATGTGAAGTGAATGTGGATATCTGGGTTGGGGTTGTGAGCTCAGAGGTGGGTGGGGAGGGGTAGCTTAAAGAATGTGTGTGTGCATGCATGACATTGTTAGGCTGGAGGAAAGACAGCTGGGCACTGCATCATCACTGAAAATCCCTGAGTCTATGTGTTCTTCTCCTTGAAGGATGAGTCAGGGGAACTGGAACCTAGGATTGTGTGGAGACCTCCGTCAACAAGTATCAGGGCATGAGAAAACTTTACTGATTTGTGTACTTCTGCATTGTAAAGTTGTCCAGTGGTTAAGACAAACTAGTGTAGCTATAGATGGAAAGGATGACATGATATGGAATAAGCCCATCCCTGGAAATTGAGGAGGTGTTGTTGGTATGGGAAGTGAGAGAGCAACATGTCCTTAAGATCTAGAGAGATTAAATGAGAGTGGAGACCTGGCTTCCTTAGGGAGAGCGGCCATGTACATGCCCCGCCCCCTGCCCAGGGTACTAAAGACAGGACCATGTCTTTACCAGCTTGAGTCTATTTTCTGCTTAGGTTTTTGTAGTGCTGAAGAAGTATGGTTCCCCCAGAATCATTCTGGTTCTCAAGGGCAGAGAGACTGATGGCTGTTCTCAATTCCTCATCATTCCTTCCCTATGTTGAGGAATTGCCCATCCCTCAATTTCCAAGGATGGGCAATTCCTCATCATTCCCTCCTGGGAGGCCTTTGTTCTATCCTGGGGGTTCCTTGGTGCTTTCCAGTCAGTGCAGAGAGTGAGGGGAATGAACCAGCTCCACCAGAAGTGCCCTCCTTGGACATAGAACCAGAAGGACTGAAGAGGCAAAGAAGGGAGTGCTGGGGGTATTCTTCAGTGAGGAAAAATTCCTGGAGATCTGGAGGATCAGGGGCACACATGGACAGGGCAATGCCCAGGCCTCTATGTCCATGATTGGATTCACATTGTATCATCACATGCATGGCAGACTGTGATCTCTCTCAGGGCAGGAGCTGGGTCTGTCCTATTCACTGCTGCAACCCCAGGGTCCAGAAGAAAGGGCTCAGGAAACGTTTGTTGAAAGAGAGTAAACTAATAGAAAAGTGAATGAAAAGGCAAGGCATATGGCCCCCTAGAGCATTGGGTGGATATGCTAGCTAGAGTCCATGCTGCAGAGGCTTCCTGAGGACCCTGTGGGAGAGGCTTCTCACTGGAGCAGGTGGACAGCCACACCATCCCTAACCGCTGAGCCCAAATGTCAGACCCAGCTCATGCTGCAACTATGGGAGAGGATTTCCAGGACTGGGGAATCTGCATGAAGTGAGCTTAATAAAATGGCCCCAGGCCTCCTGGAAGGGAAGGGCCAGAGAAGGGTGCATCATCCACAGGAACCCTGAAGCTCCCCACTGAAATGCCCTATTGGTGACCACACCATCCAGCACATCCTCCTCACTGCCTCTGTCCTCTACACCTCATGGACATGCTTGCAAATGGATGTTTGCCAGTCCATTCCACTTGGTAAACAGAATTCCAGGACTTGTATCAGCTACCTCTGTTCCCAAGTTTTAGCATGTGTTTGTATTTATTTGTTTGCGCATTCCTTTATCTGTCAATCATACAATAAACACCTTATGGGAACCAGGCTCTGTGCTAGGCATGGGCATGATGCTAAACAAGACCCTTTGCCCCATGGTGCCAACTGAGGGAGACAGATAATTAAATATGCAACTACAACCCAGGGGGCAAGAGTGTGGGTGAGGTAGGACATGGACTGAGGTACATGCAGATTTAGGAAGATGACATGGAAGCTGACACTTGAAGAACCAACAAATGAGTTTGCATGTACAGTGTCCTAGGCAGAGGACCTGGTCTATGCAAAAAGCTCAGGGCTAGTGGGCCTGGTGTATGTAAGGAACGCAGAGCACAGCCTGGGTGGAATGTTGGGCAATGGAAAGGAGGGGAGAGAGGAAACCAGAAAGTGGGCTGTGGTGAGGGGTCAGGGCAGCAGCCCATGAAAGAACTGTAGGTTATGTATTATGGATGTTGAACCTTCATCTGATTACAGTGGGCCATTAGATAGGGGAGGGCAGATGACACTTTATACTTCAGAAGGACAACTCTGATGGCAGGAAGGATTGGCAGGAAGTGTGACTGGGCTTGGCAGTATCCTGGCTTGAGACATGGCAAGGGCTGGAGGGTCCCAGAAATGGCCTATCCTGCCTCTGGCCCCCTTGCCAGACTGCCTTGGTCTGAGGCTCATCCTTTCTTACTCTACCCGCTACCCCCCAGGTAACTACACATCCCGGGTCTGGGAGTACTCCTCCACCATGCAGAGCTCTGACGACCTGCCTATGTCCCAAGGCAGCTCCTCCTTCTCTCTGAAAGGTGAGCTCTGTACCCCATCCCCCTCCCTGCTTTTCCTTCAAGCCCTGAATTTGTGTCTGCTCTCTTACTAGTTCCTCACCTTGAAGGGGCAAAGCCTTGGACTGCGGGGATAGCTATGCCCCAACAGCATTTATTGAACTTGTCTAATCACACACTTTTCCCTAAGGGTGCCCTGTGATAACAGGCTTTAGCATCAGGGAGATGGGGATATACCACACTCTATACAGCCCCCACCCCATACAGCCCCTACTCTAGACATCCCCAGGGTGTCTAGGCTGAAACACCATCTTTCTACTTCAGAAAGCTTATTTAACTTTGTTCACCCATTGACTCCCAGCCACGGTTGACTCTAGAACACTGTGACCATATGGTACCTGTCGAATTTCAAAGAGCAAGGTCTTGCTTCTTTGGGAAAAGTGGGGTTAGGTGATCTTTAAGCCCTCCAGGACCGATTCTGTTCCCTAGGACTCTTTGACAAGGCTGAGTAGTCAATGCCTCCTGTTCCCTGTGGTTGGGTCATTTTGAGAGAAAAGCTTTAGCCAAACCCTAGTTCACAATGGAGCCTAGTGCCCTCACATCTCTTTGGAAATGCCCAAGTGACAGCTTTGGTGCATTGTGGTGGGAGTGGCCCAGTCTGCGTTCTGGCACCTAAGATGTTTGGCCTGGAAGAAAGGATAAACAGGTTGGGTGGGCTCAGGGAGCGGGGGAGAAGGGCTGTGCAGGGCAGGAAAACCCCCAAGCAGCAGCATCTGAAGATGGCTTTATCATCCAGCAGTCCCTTCCCAGCTGGGATCCCAGCCTATGCCCAGGGCAGAGATTCTTGGAATAATAACAAAGTGAAGGAGAAGGGACTATGACTAGAGGGTCCCAGCCTGCAGGAACCCCTGGGAAACTCTAAGATTTCCTTGATCTGTCTGTCTTCTAACAGATCTCTCCCTTCTCTCTGGTCAAATTCAAGCCATAGGCCACCTGGCAGGTGTGATTTGGCACTTTCATGTTGCTCAGTATCTCCCCATGAGCCTGCAGAGCCTCCTCTACAGGTCTTGCCTCAGGAGAACCCCTTCTCTAATACACCACATCCTTCAGGAACAGCCCGGGGACATCTACTGTCACCTTCATGTAGATCCATTCACCAAATCCACTGGGAATGGCCTTGGATGGGGGTTCTGGACAGGGTTGCATGTGTGCAAGGAGAACTCCCACCTGTGAGGACCAACCCCACCCACACCTACTCCAGCAGCCCTGGGGGAGGCAGAGATCATGCTCTGAGTGCTGGGCTAGGGCTGAGCAAAGGCTGTGGAATGGCAGCACCCCAAGGTAAAATGTGACTCTCTCTGATCCCTTCTGAAACCAGCACTGTGCTGCTAACAACTCTCTCTCTCCCAGCAGGCACTGAGAAATTCCCCTATCAGTTCACCACCTTGGGACAGGCCACCACAGAGTTTTCCAAACCATTGGACACCAATGGGCTGTTTAAAAATAATTCTGGTACCTGTTTGTTTCCCTTCCCTCTTTTTCCCCAACAGTGGGGCAGGTAGAACAGCCTTTGGGGCTCTCTGCCACTTCTAGGGTGTCCTGGTTCCCCCTCCCCAGAGCCCTCTGGAAGAATGAAGACTGTTCCACTGCCATCACTGCCTTCTCTCCCCTTTTCTTCTGCCTGTTGCGTAAGGCTGGCCTCCCAAACCCCTCCACCCATCCCTGTCCTCACCTCTCTTATGGCTGGCTGTCATGGGGTTTTCTTTCTGGTATTGGAGCTAGACCTAAATTCCTTCTCTCTCAGCTTCCCACTCAGGATCAGTACAACCCTCTCTTTCCAAAGCTGTCCCATCTCCAGATGCAGGGAGAGACCTGGGCTCTCTGCTTTGTCTCTGCCCCTTTGCCAAGTGCCAACCCAGGGAAGGGCCAGCTGGCTCGCATCCTGGTAGTGCTACGGGTGGTTTCTGGGTCTGACCAGCCTATTGTCTCTAAGAGCAGGCCAGAACAGGAATCTAGGTGGCCCCAGCCAAGGATAGACCCTGAGGATTTCTTAAGCTCCTCTGCATTCAGGTCACAGCCTTTTCTTTTTCTACAGGATAATGGCTATCACTGAGAGTGCTTTTCACAGTTTTGTGGACTACAGCTCCTTACAGATCTCACTGGGGAGGGGTGGGGAGGTAGGCCCAGGGAGCCCCATCCTGTATTAGTGTCTTCGGGATCAGTCCTGGACAGTGCCCAAATGCTCCAGACCCCTTGGGCTTGCAATCTTAACCCTGGACAACAGCCACATGGAAGGTTACTACCCCTCTCTGGGTCCTTCCTGCTTCTGATGCAGGGGAGAGGCAGCAGAACTGGGCAGGAGGAACATCAGGGCGGGTTTTGGAGTCCAGCAAAACCTGGCTTCAAATCCTACTTATTAGCTGTGTAGCTCAGGGCAAACTGCTGAACTCACAGAAAGAGGGTGGAGGCTCAATGAGACACATGCAAAGTCCCAGGGTGGTACTTGGTATAAGTGGGGTCAGTAAACAGGGAACATCATCCATACACACTGGGGAGATGGAATTATTACCTCCTGGTGGAATCCTGGAAGGCTGCACTTATGGAGTGGCTTTCCTGGGCTTTGGGAGGGAGGATCAGGGGTGTGAGTCTTCAGGATGGGTGGGGAAAATCCTGACCTGGATTTGGGCATGACAGTGTTCTGCTGCCTGGCTTAGCCTACCTGGCCTGCTCATCTTCTTTCTGTCTGCCTTGGGACCACCTCTCTTTGGCCAGCCTTCCCAGGATTTCCCATTGTGGGGCCCCAGCTGCTGCACGCCTCTTCAGGGGTGGCTATACTTGGCAAATGGGCTGAATAGAGTCAGATGAACACTTTGGAGATGGCATCTGAACCTTGCGAGCCCTGACTGCCTGCCCATGCTTCCCCTGACCAGAGCCTCTTGTCTCCTCAGGCTATCCCTCCCTCATGAGGAGTCAGAGCCCCAAGGTCCAGCCCCAGACTTGGAAATCTGGCAAGCAGACTTTGCTGGTGAGTTAGGAGTGACCAGGAAACCCTGTGGGCACAGGCATGTCCAGATTGGGTGCTGAACAGGTCTCCCCAGGGACAATGGGTCATCACTTTCCTGAGGATTGTGTGGGAGGGTGGTGATGTGTCTGGATCATGGGATAGTAGGAGGAGGCAGCAGTGGCCTGAATACCTGCATAAAGCTAAGGGTAGTAGAAATCCAGGGATAATAGGCAGGGGGACAGGGAAAACATGTACTTTATGAGCCTCAGTTTTCTAATCTGTAAAATGGGCAGCCCTGTTTTTTTGTTTTTTTGTTTTTTTTTCCCCATTTGGCAAATGGTTGTTGAGTACCTATGCTTTTTAAATGACAGCTTGGTTGCTGCCAGCTCTGGGAGTGTAAAATGCTCAGCCCAGGGGACAGGCATCCTAGAGATGAATTCCATGTCCTTGAGACAGCACAGGGGTGATTGGGGTGATAGTGGGGTAAGATAGAGTCTGAAAAGTTAGGAATAGATATATTTAGATTTTGGTAGCTAATGATGCTGAGCCTGAGTCATTGAAGAGCAGCACAGAGGGAAGCATATCCTGATGTTCAGCTACCTGCTGGCTATGGGGTCCTAAGCAAGTCAAATTCCTCTTTGAGACTCTGTTTCTTTACATTTATAATGTGGTGCGGAGATGAGGTAACTCTTAATACCCTGTAGTCCTGACATGCCTGACCTCTGCCTAAGACCTCGGCAGTCAGGGGCTTTCCTTCACAGGCTGTGCCTCTACTCCCACAAATGCTTCTGTCAAGAAGACCCAGGCTAGACCTTGCTGAAGGAAACCAGCCAGCTGCCCTGGGTGTGGGTGACATCTGCTGAGGGTGAGGGGTGGAGCCCCAGTTCCTCACTGTATTTGTATTTGGAGGTCAGGGCAGGAGGAGGTGATTTGATCAGGGCCAAAGAGGCTGGTTTATTTGGAGAGGCTCTTTAATTTTCTGGCAGTTGGTGCTACATGGTTGAATGTGTAATTTAGAGCTGGGCCCAGGGGCATTGTAGCAGCAGAACTGCAAAAAGCAGATACGGGGAGAAAATCGAAGCCTTCTATTCCTGGTCTCAGTCCTTCACCTCCCTAACACACAGTCTCCTACATCTCAGAGCCTGCGTTTCAGTGGAGAAGGCTCCTCACCACCCTGAGATACCTGGGAAAACAGGGCTCTAATGTCTCTAGCATCCAGCCCTGGGAGAAAAGAGGCAGATAGTAATATGCCAAGAGGGCTTCCTGGGTTCTGGCCCCAGCCTTCTCACCAACTTGCTGTGTGACCTTGTGTGAGTCATTCTTCCTCTGTGCCTCATTTTCCCAACCTGTAACATGAGTCACGTGGCTGGGATGATTTCATAGCTCTTCCAACTCTCTCATGCTATGACTGTGAACCAGGAAGGTACAGAGGTCAATGAAGCAAAGAGAGAGCACACTTTCAAGATGCCACAGGGCTCTGTTTCTACCTACCCACAACACTGGTCTCCTAAAAAGATAGTACTGTTCACTGAGTTGAGGTGCATTTTATTGACCCAGTCTTACTGAAAGAAAGGCTATAGCCATTGCCAGATCTACTCTCTTTTCTTTGTGGTCCAGGTTGACACCTGGGGTTCAGGAGTGCTGGTCCAGGCTGTGCCATTAAGTAGCTGTGTGACTTGACCTGTGTCATTCCTATCCCAGGTCTCCACCTCTTCCTTTGTTTAATAGGTGTTTTCACTTAGGTCTGAGCTAAGGACTAGGCTGCCCTCATTCCGGACAGACATAGGCAAGAGGCTACTAGTAAATATAAGTTTCTATGCTGACAAGGGCAGGGCCTGGAACACTCTTGATATCTCCTGCATCAGGATCAGTGGGGTGTTTGCCAGGCTCAGTCCCTGACCCAGTTCAGGAACTAAGCCACTCCCAGAGACTCTGTAAGGGTCCACAGTGTTTGTATAGACAACGAGCAGCTAGAAGGTACACTTCTCTTTCAGCCTTGAAGGGAGTTTCTGAGGCCTGTGGTGAGTGAGTGAGAAGGCAGGGGAGTGTTGATTTTGTGAAGTTGCTGCAGAATATAAAACACAGAGCTGGCTAGAGAGTTGTTGCTTGCTCTGCCCTAAGAGATACTCCCTGAATGAGAAGCCAAGATGAAAGGTGGAGGAGGGGCTGAGGTAGGAGCCCTTGGTCTGTGTTGGGCTGGGACAGTTGCTTGCCCTCTCTTCACCCCTCTGTCAGGAGAATTATGCAAAGGAAGTAGAAGCAAACACTTGAAATTCTTGAGACTCAAGAAGTGTTTTGGACAAATGGGTGGGAGTGGACACTTGAGCAAGACTGTTGGGCCTGAAGTCCTGGCTCCTCTAGTAACCAGCTGGGTAACCTTGGGCAAATTGTTACCTTCTATGTGCCTTGGTTTGCTCATCTATAAAAGGGGTATGGTAGCATTAACCTATTTAACTGGATGGTTATAGAAATTCCATGAGTCCATCTATACAAACAGTGCTGTGTACTCTTCTGTTAAGTAGAAAGCGCTGTATAAATGGATGCTATAATGGTGCTGGGAGGGCCTTCTTGGGCCATAGAGAAAAAATTTGATGAGGGGCCAAGGTTCAAGCTCAACAATCAACTAGAGGAAATAAACTCTAAATAGGATTTGAAGCTGGAGAGTGTGATTACATTGGGGCTTGATCCTGATCACAGGGTAGATAGAGCTTGCAGGTTAGGCCACAGACCCACAGAATTGTTGGGGTTCAGACCACTGCTGCTTCCTGGTGGAAGTTAGAGGTGGGTGGGTTTGGCTAGTAGGCGCCACTGCCATCTTCTCTCTCTAACTACTCTTGTTCCCTGCAGTCTCATTACCGGCCATTCTACGTCAACAAAGGCAATGGAGTTGGGTCCAACGAGGCCCCATGAGTTCCAGACAGGCAGGAATGAGGCACCACCACCTCCGCACTCCCAGCTGACCCTGCTGCTCTTGCTACTGTTTTCATGTGGGTTGGAAGAAGACCAATCCTGTGCCTGCTCTCCCCCAGCCATCTCAGGGCCATCCTGGCCTCCCCTTATCTTCCCTATTAATCACAGTCCATCCAGGCCACTCTCCTGCTTTGAAACTCCTAATTGTTACCATCTTTGTTGTGTTCAGAAGCCAAGCATCACAGAAGTGGGAGATAAATGGACTTCTCTTCCCTAACCCACTAGCTCTCTCTTCAGTGGGATCACTGGGGCTAGCAATGGGTGCCCACGTAGTACCAGTTTACCTCTTCTGCCCATTCCCTTGCTGTCAGGCCTGTTGGCCATTTCTCTCCATGGACTCTTGCCCCATGATGCATGCAGTAAGTGCCTGGCCAAGACAGCTGCTCATCTCCCATCCACATGGGCCCACATTTTTCTTCCCAGCAGTATGGCCCCTTTAGGAGACTGGTTGTTTGTGCTCTGCTCTGGTCCTACCTACAATGCCCAGGCTGGCAAAATCTGCAGCTTTTGAGCACCACAGAGGGAAGCTTATCACAGTCTTGGAATCATCCTTCCTAGCCTTGGGTCTTACCACATCCACTTTGAGTCCGCAGCCCCTGAGGGTGGGCTTTCCTGGTTGGCAGGATGGTCTTAGCCAAAATAATCTTCTCTTCTACATGCTGAGATTAGAAATTCCCTTGACGTGATACCAGTGAAAATAGCAACTGGCCCAGCTTCCCTGAGGAAAATATCATTTACCTATGGAATTTCATTACTTTTATAATTTTGAATTCTTATGGCCAGAGGAAGTGAGCATGCTGGTGAAAGTATGGCTGGGCTGGTAATTGCTAGTGCTGTTTAACAGTGTGCCTGATATTCTGCCCCACCTCCAACCACTGCCCTATTGGGCTTCCTCTTTCCTCTGACTGCCCTCCGTGCTGCCATGGGGCTCAGAGCCCGCAGAGGAGACCAAACTAGGGGCAGCAAGGTGGGGGCTCTGGGGAGGCTGGGCCAGCTTGCAGGGGTGGGGCAGGGAGGGAGGTGTTTATCTCAGGCTTCCCCTGAATAAACCATTGATCACCTGCTTCTTTTGTGTTGAACAAGTGTTTCCCTCAAAGTCACCAGTGGGACAGGCTGCAGTTCTTCGGAATACACTTTCCAACTCTGATTAGTATGTGATCATTTTCCCTCTTTCCTCCAAAAAATGTGGCTCCTTTGGGTCTCTCTTCAACTTCTCCCACCCCCATCTGAGTCCCTGGGATGCAGTGCAGCAGCCTAGACTTTTCTGAGGCAGGCCTCAGTTAACAATGAACAGAAAGGAAGACAGTGCTGTGGGGTCCTGGGATATGTTGACTACCCTGAGAGCTGAGTGCTTAGAGCCCCTGGCCAGACTCCCCTGGAGCCTTCAGAGGGAACGTGGCCCAGGAGTGACCACTCACAGGCTGGAGTGTAGGCTGAGAGCCTTCTCAGTCCTGGGGAGAAGTCCCTGGCCTAAGGGCTGGTAGGAGAGCCCCGAGGGCAGCACCATACTGGCATTGGGGCATGGAGAAAGGAAATGAGGCCTTCCAGTCTCTGGAAGCCCAGAGAGGCCTGGAAGGGGGAGTCTGGGAAATCTTCCTGGAAGAGACAAGCAAGACAAAAGGAGGTATGATTAAACAGGGAGGAAAAGAAGGTACAAGAAAACCATACCCTTTCCCCTGGTGTGGCCAGGCCCCCCAGGCTCCCTCCATTCTCACATCCTTCCTTTTTGCTCTGCTTTTTACCAGAAGCCAAATAACACCAGGGAGCAGCCCCCCTACCTTGTGAAAGTACCCAAATGACCTCACTGCTGGTTCATCATGGAGGGGCACACCCTTCCCTCCTCACTCACCCTGCCTTCCTGGCTTCCCAGAAGATGGATCCTTGGAATCAGAAAAAGGAAGGGAGAAATGGATAAGAAGAGGGAGACAGAGGGGAAAGAAGGGTAAAAAATAAGAGGAAGGTGATGGGATCTAGTGCATCTATGGAGGACCCTCAGCCACTGTTGGGAAGAAGAGATACCACAAATGAGGAGGTTTGGCCACCTCAGTGCCCTCCTTTGAGAGCTGGGATAAAGATATCCCTGGGCTGGCTGCTGCTCTCTGGAGTCCCCTGCCCCAGGTGCTAGGTCCATGAACAACGCCCTCTGAGCAGTGTTCCCTGCTCCCCAAGCAGGCCCATCTTCATGGGCCCCGGTGCCCTGCAGCCTTCCTGATCTTCATTAGCACCTGCAGTCCCGGGGTCCACAATGGTGAGGAGAGCCATACTCCTGGCCTCCAGGGATGCCCAGATTCTTTGAAAGAGGCCCTGACCTCCCAGGGGAGGGAGATGGACAGAGACCCAGTTTCAGCTGACAGCCAAGGGCAGCTGGGTCCCTGCCTATCCTTGGCCTGGACTTCACCAAGAGTGGTCATCTGTAGTGTGGAAGCTGGGAGGGTGGGAAGACAAAACAGCAGTGTCTGGAGGCCCTGGGCCCTCTGCTGTGGCTTAATTGGGGACATCCCCAAGCCTTGCTTTCCTTCCATTAATCCCTACCAGGTCCATTAATGTTGGAACTGTGATTATAAAGCAATCAGGGGGATCCTTTATCCCCACTTTTTAGAATGCCCCCTTCCTCAGCATGAATGAAAAACATCCATGAAGGGGAGAGGTGAGGCATCTCTCCCTTGAACAGGAGATAAGGAAGAGAAGCAGATTCCATTTCCATTCTCATTCTTCTCAGGCCCAGAAAAGTCCTGGTCCATGCTTACCTATGTCATGGCCTCACCCAGCTCCAGGCTCTAAGGCAATTCCAGCAGTGCTGTGTGTAGCCTGTTGGCAGATTGGAAAAGACCCACTGGAGTCTGGGTTGGAGAAGGAGGGAGGCAGAGCTGAGGCTCATCAGGGAGCCCTGGCCAGGTAGTTGGGAGTTCTCTTCCTGGCTCAGTCACTTTAGGCTGTGTGAGCTGGGCAAGCTGCCTGTCCTCTCCTAGTCTGACCTTCCCCATCTACAAAATGAGGTGTTTTTACTGGATCATTCTTGAGGCCCTTTCCCTGCTCTAAGAGTCTGTGGGATAAAGACTATAGTGAAGGTGGGTTCAAAGGGACTGGAAAATTGAGCTTGGTCCCAGGCTGGGGCTCCATGATCAGCATGGGGTTGAGAGCCAGCCAGACTGGACTCCTAAATCGCCAAGGCTCCACTTATCCAGCCCTACTGCCTCATGTCTTCTTTAGATCCTGATGGCTTCCAAGGGCACAGGTCCCATCCAAACTCTGCTTTGGGCTTGGATCTTTGGGGCCCACCAAAAGATGGACTCCATTACATCAGGAGTTACTCTGTCTTGTTTTCTTAGGAAAATGAACAGGGCTTGGAGGCTAGAAGCAGTTAACTCGAGGAAAGGTGGTAGGAGCAGAGGGTGAAATAAACAAAAGGGGAAATGGGGAGATGCCCAGTGAGGGGGTATCTGGGACACTTCATTGTGTCAGCTTCTCAGTTGGACGACAGGGTTTGGAGCCCGACTGCCTCCCTGACAGTACCACTCACCAGCAGTGTGACCTTGGGTAAGTCTGTAACAACATCTTAAAGGACCATTGGGAAAAACAATGGTGTGTGCAAAGCACCTGGCATAGGAAGCACTCAATAATTGAGACATGACAATATTACTACTGTTGTCAAATCCTCAACAACAAAGACAACATTTCAACTTGGGACCAAACTTGGGTTTTCCATATTTTTAACTTTCTGCACTTGGACAAGAGGGACCCAGTGGGGACATCTGGGTAGTTTCCCATCTCTTTTCTAACCCAAGAACCAGCAGCAGGGCTCCCTGCAGTCTTGAGACATGGACAGCAGATGGAAGCATTTCACTGCAGCTAAAGGGCACTAAGCCTCCCTCCCCTAGCCCAGCAGCTTGGACTGGGTGGTCCTTTCCTCCCTCTTTCTGCATGAGCTAAATGAACCTTGTTGTCCTAGGCTGTAAAATTTGTGACAACAGGATGACAGGTCCCCAGCTGGGCAAGAATGAAGGGCTTGCTGTTTACCCCAAATATCGCCCAGTTTGACATGGAGGCTGCACAGTGCATGGAGATTGCAGGGTGGGCTCTCTCTGTGGATGTGAGGGTGGGCCTGAGGAAGAAGGCTGAGTGGACATGTGTTGGGGAGGAGGGGACTCTGTACAAGGCAGACCCTCAAGTAGACTGTAAGATGAAAAGGCAGAGTCTATGAAATTCAAGAGGTAACTGAGGGGCTGCAAACTGCTGAACTCCTTGGCTTCTATTATTCTCAGATCTCCTACTTAGAGAACAGGGAAATTTGTACCTTCCTTCTGACCGACAAAGTAAAGATGTCAGAAGGATAAAGTTGGCAGCCCTGGAATAACAGTCCAGAGGAGGTGGGCGGAGGCCAACCCCAGCCTTGTTTTCCTACCAAACCCTCCAATCATCTCCCAAGAGTGACTGAAGAAGTTTGATCTCTCCAAGTATTGACTATTAGGTTTAAAAATAAACTATTCTTCAGCCACAGAAACTGGAGATAAATGCTAATTGCTGGGTGGGTGTGACACTTCTGGTTCCTAAATTATCACCTTTTTAAGGCTGAGGCTAGGAAGAGGAAAAGGGAAAAGGGAGGGAGTGAGGGACAGGATACTGGGAACCACTAGACTCTCTTTCAAGAGAATGTAACAGTAGGCAGTGGGTAGAAACTCCTCCCCAGCTGCTGAGAATGATATACTTGGTTCTCAAGACTCTCCAGGGAGGACAGGAGCCAGGGGATGGAAAAAGGGGAAGAGGTCTTAGGCTCCTAGTGGTTTTTAACAAGTTAATCCAAGGTGGACTGATAATTTGTTCCTCCCAGGCTTGTGGCTGGCTAGTTTTTCTGAGGTTGGTTCCATCCTCATATTAAGACCCTCCATGGGGCTGAATTGATGGGCTGCAAACCCTGTTACTGACTGGCAACTGGTAGAAGG